GTGTAGGTCGGGAAACTCTGGAAAGATGTTGCCAGAAGGCCCAAAAGACCTCCGACGAGCTCCTGAAGAGTAGCATCTTTGGTCTCATGAACCCTGATGAGATTAAACACTTTCTTCTCGCAGCAGATCATCAGATGTGGATGGAAATCAGTGACTAACAATCTTCTTGAGCATATGTTTGGGTTTTTGTCCCCTGAATTTTTGATTCCAATCTTCAATGCAGTTCTTGTTGGTTCACCAGCCTCACGGTTTTCCTTTGCTGGAATGGTTCATGCTTCTCACAGGCCCCGACTCAGCAAAAGCTAAGGGCAAAACACGGAGGATTTTCTCAATAAGCTTTTGAAGGAGCCTGGAATCCGTGTGGAAGATCGACCCAAGGTGCCTAACGCAGTTTTGCCTTCGTGGTTTGTCTGTCTCTACCAGATGTGCGAAGAATGACAAGCTTAGTGCTCTGTGCGAAGAACACGCAGAGCGTTTGGTCAGAGCGTTTGCAGTTACATGACACACGTACTTGTGAAAGAATGTTTGATTCCCAGTGATCCCAGAATGCATTCTGACTGCGGTGTTGAGGTCGCAGAGATGATGAGGCCCGATGCGATCAATTCCCACTTGCGGCAGATGCGACCCGTCATCATGGATCACACGGTCCGGGAACCTGCCACCACCACACCCTTCGGGCACACGGGCTACATGAAATGGCTGACCTTGAAGATCATTCAGAAGATGAACATCAAGGACATAGCCATCAGTGGCCAATACTATGGATCATCCTATACGCCTGAAACTCAGATCTTAGAGTGGCTCCACTACAAGGGCGAGTCCATGGATGGCATGGTGGTGATGTTCGCACCTGGAGAGCGTGAGGCTGGCATCAAGGCCATTCGAGACTACCAGATTCCAAATGCCTTCCTTGATCTGACTCTCAAGGCTGGAAGGATTTGGCGATTCTCACAGTTCATGAGCCCTTCTGTGGAAGGCCCCACCAGGGAGCATAGACCTCAAAATGTCTTGATTGGAGGGGAGTCCCATGCAGAAAAGCTGCGTGAACAACTCGAATTTTCTTGTCATTGTAGTGATTGAATACTTTGGGTAGCCTTACTACGGCTCTGGGGCTTCAATGGCAACTCCCCAACAAATCGGAACTGGTTGCCATTGAATGGCCAGGTGGCATGATATTGAACCACAAATGCCGGAGAAAACGGTTCTTGGAGGCCTCACGCAATGCTATTTGCCCCATGCTGATGTGTTTTCACTGACCTCTTTTGAGCACGGTAGGCCAGCGTGCGTTTTGCAGAGACGAACTTTGCCACGACCGTGCAGACCGTGTTGGACGCTGTGAAGGAGTTGGACCAGATTTTCAGTGAGATGGGATTGGCCCATGAGCCATGGAGGAATGACGAAGAAGTCAACAGAGACTCGATTAGAAAGATTGTTAAAGTCTTGGAAAGTGTTTGTTAACGCAAGTCGATCAAAGTAGGAATGAAAGGTTTGCTTTCCGCCGTATGGTGTGAGTGAGGTAAACATGGGAGCGGCGAGATCTCCCTGAACTTGGTTGACCTGATGGAATTTTTGGATCTCAAAACGAACGGAGAGATGAACTCTTCCAACCAAAAGTCCTTGGAAGATGCTTTTGCCAAATGGAAAGCCAACAAGGCATTTCAACGTCGAGTGGTTGCAATCTTGACAGAGGAAGGGAGAGGCTGTGCCAATTATTTGGACTATGGCAAGGTCGTGGAGTGGCTGCGGAGTCAATTTCCACAGAAAAAAAACTACCGGATTTTGATACACGCACACGCCGGTCCTGGCAACACTCAGGATGCAGCCAGCATTGAAGCTGTCCTTCATGGAGGCAACGGTGTTTGGGCTGGGATCATTCCGCAGGCAGCACAGGGTGGGCACAACTCCAGCTTGGTTTTCCTGGACAACATGCTACGACTGGGCAACCAGCACGTCCTTGAAGACTATTGGTTGCACCAAGCAGCTCAAAGTGCTCGCTATGTGTACTACTTGAATTTCAACACCTACACAGTTCCTGATGATTGCCCGATCTGGGGTGCTCAGGTAGAACGTCTACTGCACACTGCGTTTAGCACAGTGGAAGGCGAGGAGTGGCGCAGAAGGCGTGGCAATTATTACAACATGTGGGGGCGGAAAGAAGCTTGGATGGCAAGAATCTCGTCACATGCGCTCTTCAAATGTATTTGTACTATATGTATAAATTATTGTGACTTGTCTTGTGATTTGTCAAGCAAGGAGGAGATCAAGCTGGAGACTGCGGTGGAAAACTCAAAGCATCACAAGGCAGTATCTACACTTCGCATTCACGAGAAGAGGGGCAAGTATCGTTTGTCACCTCTTGTTTCAGATGTGAAGACCTGGGAGAAACGTTTGGGAGAGGATTTGAGCATTCTCGATGCACGGGATGTCATCTCGGAGTATGTGGCAGAGGTGCGAATGCTGGCATTTGCCTTGATGAATGCGGGGCTTCGAGTGAACATTGATGCTCTCCTTCATTTAGTTTTAGGGGATAAGGAGGTATTATGAGGCATGCAGGTAGGTGGCTAGTAGGCAAGTAGAAACCCCTAGAACTTCATGGTGTTGATGACCCTGTTGTTTGTTCTCCACCCACTTCAGGCATCCTGAGCTAAGGATGCGCCGAGCACTTTGCGGAAGTTGGTGGAGATTGTGAAGAGAAACAGAAGTGTCATTCAAAGGTGCGTGGTTCTCCGGCGATGTAAGCGGTGGATCCAAAAATGCAAAGATGCAACTGGTTTATAAAATATCTTGGATAGTGGATAAGATATCCAAGATAAAATGAAGTGCAAAGTTTCATACAAGTTAGAAGTGCAAAGTTGTTTGGTTTGGTTATCGGATAGCTGCAGCTGGATAGCTGCAATATATGAGTTCTTCGCGGATAGAATACCGATGAACACGCTTGGACTCGATGTGAACCGTTCAGCCAAGTAGCCATGAGCACGCGACACATGGACGACACATGGACGTGAGGTTCCAGTGAACGGGCTATTTTGCTCCCTCGTGTGCCCTGTCAGGTGCCGACAGGTGGATGCCTATCAAAAGGCTGGACAACATCAAGGTGACGAGGAATAGCCATGATAAAATGCTTAGCTTTGAAGAAACTTTTACGAATTGCTTTTTCCTGCCAAAGGCAGAAACTCAGGGGATCTGGGAAGGACTATGGACTATGGACGTCCTGCATCGTATTAGAGGGTAAATGAGAACTATAGGTCCAGCTTCCGAAAGATCTCCCCTTTGACAAAACTGTTTGATGTGCCAGGTTCGAGACCTGTTTGGGGACTCGCAGATTTTCCACGGCACCAATCAATCCAACTAGCTTGCCGTCTAAACTACTGGTACTCGCGAGTCTCAAAAGGAGCAAGACCAAAAAGGAGCCTTGCAGCTCTTGCACGTGCTGCCTGTGAGGCTGCGAATAGATCGATGGATGTGGAATTGTTGCTTTGTAACATTAATCCTGCGAGGAGCTCATCTCGCTAAATTCCTATCTCATTCAGCCATAGACCTCTGATTGGCCATGCCCCGAATGAACCAGACAGGTTCAGAAGATAAGACTGCACACACCACGACCGGGACGAAATGCGAGGAGGCCAAGCGTTGTGACAAATTGTGCCGGATGCTTCTGCATCAGCTGAAATGGTACGTAGTTGCTTTGCATGGGTGTTCTTGGTGTTTCTTTTGATTTGGATATGCTCGCAGCTTCACCTGGTAAACCTCGCAGACCCAGCGCATCGGATGTTCTGTTCTTTCGACCTTGGCTGACCAACAGCGAAATGGTATAAGAAAAGTTGGAGGCTTAGGCTTATCAGAGTAAGTACAAGGGAGTATGTACAGAGTGCTTATCAGAGTGCTTAGGCTTATAAATGGTAAAGATAGCGAGGGAGTATGTACAAGATCTACTCCCTCGCTCTCTTCGTCTACGAGTCACCTCAAAAGAAAGAGCCTCCAAGGCGTTTCACCAAGGCCTCGGTCGGCGAAGCGGCGGATCTCGAGATCTGTCGCGGCACGCGGCACGCTACTCCGTGGCGTTGCCGGGGCCGGCTCCAGGCGACCACCCGGCGCGGAGCGGCGGAAGTCTTTCCTTATGGTCAGCAACCTACAATCTGAAGGGTCCAACCCTGTTCGGCCTCCAAAAGGGGGGGGGGTCATCATCATTTGTTGCGAAAAACAGTTGCCTCAAGGTCATGTCTTCACTCCTATCCGAGGCATCCTCAGCACTCGGCCCGTCCAGGTGTTATTGGTCGCTGCGGGGCCTTGCAGAAGGCGCATCAAGGTGCCGATGGGTTTGGAGCATCGTGATTTCGTAGAGAATCCCAGTGCTGGACTACAGTTACTTTCCAAAGCATTCTCCTCAATTCCTGCACCTCCTGGATTCTTTGTGTTCATCGACTGCACTCCCAGCACTCACGGACTCACGGTCCTTTGAAAAAGACTCCCCAATGCAGTCATTCCATTTGTTGGTCTCTCCAAACAAAGCATTTTCTCATGTCCCTCTTCACGTGACCTCTTCTGCGTAAATGAGACGCAACTCGATATGACTGACATATGGGGTGGTTGGCAAGGGGTCAATGCCGGCACATATGTTGACCTTAAGTTTTGATCACAAAAGATTATATTTTGGGTGGGGTGGTTGATGATCCAAAACAGAGGACGCTTAGGTTCTAACTATAAGTTTATAGTATCAGTGTTTCTACTGTTATACATCCACTCAGCTCAAGCGTCCGGGTGTTCTTTGTATCAAACTTCCTTGCGCCGAAGAGGGGCTTTTCGCGAAGAGGCGCCGAAGAGGCCGCTCGGCACGGGTTGTTTTGGGCGCCGAAGTCCCGGGAAAAGTCCCTTTTCACTCGGGGGCACAGGAGTTGTCAGACGTTTGGCGTTCCCAGAGTCCTTGATCTGCGGAACTGGTATAGAAGGCAACCGTGCCAGGCAGGCTTCGGCTTCAGCTCTCAAAAGGCCTGGGGCGAGGAAACGGTCACAGTCATAGGGGTCGAGTCAGTTCCTCTCACAAGATTCCCAGCTCTGCACAGGACGTCTTTGTTAAAACCCCAGGCTTGGGCTTCACGCATCTGCAAGTGCCCAAGTTGTGGAACACTTGGCACGCTGAAAAACTCACGGGCGCAGCCATCAAGCTTAGAGAAGACGCGCGGTTTGCCAAATCCCCAAAATGCCATGAAGTGCGCCTTCCTCATTGCCACGATCTCTGGGGCTGTGCGCCTACAGCTGAGCTCAGAGGCAGATGGAGGGATGTGAGACAGGAAGTGACACTGGAAGTGAGGCATCCTGCGCATTTGGGAATATCCCCTGTACCATCGGGAATATGATGTCCCCTTGATGTTTGTCGTTTTGCCTTTGGTTCAGGCTGCATTTGTCCTTCTGGTGTTGTTCTTTCAAAGGAGAACGAACGAAGAATCCGAAGACGGGACATCTCCGAACTTCCTTCTGCAGGATGCCATCAGTTGGTCCGCTTTGGACGACGCAGTCCCGTCGACTCCGTCCTTCATGGAGGAGAGCGCGAGCGGCGCGGCAGCGCGGCGCTGCGTCCCGCGCTCATTGCGCGGAGCTGGTCGGCGGGAGGGGCTCAGCTTCCCTTACAAGGTCGAGGGTTCGCAGCGCCTCGCGGTTTGCTCAAGAAGTTCTTGAAGAAACATTTGAGTGGTCTTTCGCATGCGAGAAGAAGGATTGAAAAGTGCGTGGTGTTTTTGCACAGACAAAGGTTGAATGCATGTCCTTAGTATTTGTTGCTGCTTTGCATCGTTGGCATTACAAACAATTGCACTCGGGACCGATCATCTACTTCTGCAATCTAACCTCTCCAAGCTCTCTGCCCGCTCAGCCCGCAGGACTGGCAAATTGAGGCAGGCCGGTATGGAGTTCACTAGTGTCCGTAAGGTGCCAGGTTCACGGTGTTTTGGTCGAAGGCGTGGCTGGCCCCATGGGTCGTTGGAAGGACGCGGGGGCATGGTGCGACCGAAACCGTCACCTGTGTCGGCCAAACGTGAGGCCAACGCCTGCAAGAAGACGGAGAAGAGATCCAAGAACGACCAGAAAGAGCGGATGTTTTCAAAGATGCGCAGATGGCTCAGATCTAAGAAGGACCAGGTGAAGGAGGCAGAAAGCGAGGCACGTGCGATGCAAATCACATGCATATATAGAAGGATTCCTCAAGAAGAGGCTTGCTGGACAGAGAAGACAACAACTCTTAAAGTCCCACCAGTCTGCTCCCAAAGTGTTGGAGTTGTTCAGCTCGTCGTGTGTGAACGATTTCGCCAGCGACGTGAGATTCGGACGTCAGGTGCCTTGGTCGGTGGGCGACGATGTGAATGGCGAGTCCATCCAAGAAGAGTTGGTGAAGTTTCTGGACAAGGCCCCCAAGTGTCGCCTAAAACCAGATTGGTATGTGTCACACTCCGCCCTGAAAACTGGTTCTAGTCCATGGTCTATGTGTAATTACACATCGGTATAGTAAATCATAGTATATAATATGTATAGTATTATATATGTATTATGTATTATTATACACATGTATAGTAGAAACTTGCTTGGTGACATGTTGATGACTTCTCAGTCATGCTCTAAGAAGGTGTCCTTTTTTAGTGAATGCCCTTGCGCTTAGATCTGAGGAGCTGAGCCGAAGAACAAACACGTTGCTTGATTCAAAACCATTTCCTTTGCATGAGCGCATGTGCTTTGAATAGCATTGTTGCGCAAATCCTTTCATGTCAATGAAGGAGGGGCAAGAAGCAAGCCACGGGAACGAGGCTGGTTGCAGTAGCGCAGTGATTTGCAAGCAGGTTCAGTAAGCCACGGCACATCCACCAGTGAAATTTGTGTCCCCTTCCGGTTCCCTTGTTTGGATTGGTCTGTCTATATCGCGCTTTGCCGCTGGGGTGATCAGGGCCAGAAGTTCCCAATGTTCAAAAAGCCCGACGTGAACACCGTGACCTTCTTGGAGGAAGCCTTGGAGACCGACACAGAGGCAGGGAAGAGCTTGCTACCTTTCTTGGCTTCCACCGTTCCTGAAAAAGTCATGAGACTAAGCAGTCTGAAGAAGGATTCACGTCAGGGAGCTGACTTTGAGTCAGAACATTGAATGGTTTCAAGTTTGCAGAGAACTTCGGCAGCGCAATGTCAACCAGCCCAGGATCCTTGTCAGCAGCAACTAGGAGGTCTGATGAGAGATTTGCAGAAGGTTTGCGAAGAGGTGGGGGTTCCGCTTTGTGAAAGGCCAAAGCGGATTTGGCCTAGACATATTAATATCGACGCCCTCGACTGAAAACCACCTACAGACCGACCGCCTCATCGGCCAACTCGGCGTCTTCTCTCCCTTTTCGACCCAACTCGTCACTCGTCCATCTCGACCGCAGAGGCCAAACCCGAAGAAGACCGCTGGGGCTGGTTCCAGTCGCTTCCAGCTAAGACGTGTGTCGAGTCCGTGAAGGAGCTCTTTCTGCACGGCTTGGAGTTGGTCGCAGCGAGCCAAGTGCCGGTGAACCTGGTTTATCAAAAGAGACTGCCACGGAGCACTCTGCCCTTGCTGCAAAGTCTCAACTTCTTGGAAAAGTGGCTGGTGAAGCTGGCCACGGCCGAGAAGGAAGCCATTCTGTGGGCCGGATTCTGGACGGACCCCAATTCCCAAGATGGCCATTTGCACCGTGCATCGAAGGAAACGTTGTTTCGCTTTGCCCATCTCACTGAGACGGAGACTGTACATCCCAGCACGAAACTGGGCCGGATGATTGAACAGTTCAATGAGCTCGACCAGTGCAAGGGCGAGCTGGCTTGGAAGCTCACAGGGAACTTTTGGTCGTTTGCCAGCTATTCCTTCGTGCTTGGAATGAAGAGAAAGGAACAAGGAACTGTCATTGCCCTCGCCAACAAAGACTTGAGCGGCCCCAGATCCTTGAACAAGTCTGTGTTGTTTCAACATGAAGTGCCCACACTCGGCATCGCAGCCTGGGGGCTAGGTTTTTGGTCGCCCCAAGTGATTCTCATTGATTTGAAGGCGACGTGCAACAAGACCAGTTCCATCCTTCGCGAGAGGCTCTTCGCCCGGCTCAGCCCATACTTCCGTGTCAGAGCCCAAAGGTATTGGACCTCCGCAGAATATGCCTTGCGCTCCAAGCCATCCTGGCAGTGTATCGACTGCGAGGAGGGCAAGTGCGAGCTGGGCCCCGAGTTGGCCCAGCACCTACGGACGCTGCGGGAGGCCGGTTGCGCTGCATTTGGGGGGATCATCACGTTCATTTAGAGAGAAAGAGACAAGAGTTTTGAAAGCAACTGGGTGCTTTGCAATCACAACTTGCATGCTGCATATTGCATTAAGCATGCTTTACCGAAACAAAAAGAAAGCAATTAATACCATAAAGAAATCTTAGTCCTACTCACTTTTCATCTGTTTCGTGTAGGATTGTTTCTGGCTCCCTAGTCCCCTCGTGCCCCAGTCCCTGGCCCCATAGTCCCCTGTTTTTGTAAGGCCATGTATTGTGGGCTTGTTTGTGTGTGGCTTGAATTTTCGTGTGGCTGATCATGTACGCGGAAAGGCCAGATCTCCGATGCCGTCCCAAGAGATCTCAAGGGGTGACGCCAAGCCAGATCTCCGATGTTGCCTTGCACCTCCGTGGCAGGCACTACAACAAAGCAAACATGACCAGACCATCCAGTCTAAACCAAACCCAACACCAAGCCCTTTTCAGAGGGCAACTCTGAAAAATCACCAAAAACACGAAGGTCGCCCGACCAAAACGAAACCTTTTGAGAGAGGCGCTACGCCCTCGCTCGAGCCCTTTGTTGTCTTTTGGAACCAAGCCACACCCACTTTATGGGATCAGCCGGGATCAGCCGTGCGTGATTGGGAACAAGGTCGAAGGTCAACTTAGAACAAGTGCTGCCAGGTGCATGATTAACCCCCCTCCAGCATTTACAGGTCATGACCTGCGTGGTTCCTACTTCTATGCATCCCGTCGCCCGCTCCGCTCTCCGCTCTCCGCTCTCCGCTCTCCGTTCCGCACACTCACTCGCTCGCGCCGGGGCAGACCGGGGGTCGGGTGAGTGGGGCCCAGACGAGCCGCTCTGTGCGGTCCGATTTCACTTCAGATGACGTAGACGAAAAACCACCTGACTGAAGGACAAAACATG